TAGGGTTTTATTTTAATTTCTTAATAGTTACTCTTATTTTGGAAAAAGCCTTTCCTTTACTTTCTTGTTTCTCACCCATGATTCCCTATCAAAATGAGTTTTCAGGATTACGTTTTATATAAATGAGGTAGAAACAAGTATTTAATTGAAGTCTCGGTCACTTCACTAGAAGACCCTAGCAGAGCGTTAGCAGAACGTGCTCTTTTACGGCCACGTTTTTATTAAAAGTCTAATCTTACTGCGATTCGGCTGTATTGTTACATGCCTGCTAGAATTCACTGGTAATCTTCATTAACGGCCAGTTCTGTTAGTTATATCTGTGCAGTTACAGCTGGTTCAATTTCAGTATTAGATTAGCTTCTTATTTTCTATCTTAAGTTAAAGCCCAAGTGAAGGCGTATTCTAAGCCTAAAAAAAGGCCATATGTCAATTATTTTGAGTTGAAATAAAGGGTAAATTTAACCCTTCTTTGGACTGTTTCCTGAACAGAACTCTGCGATAAGTCGCTACACAGTTCTTTGATATTTTAGCTCTCGAGGACTATAAAATTAGCTAGGACATTATAATTCAAAAACATAAATATTGTTTATTTTTTTCCTAACACCAGTTTCTTCTGCAGATTTGGAGTGAATAATGAAAACAGCACTTCTTGATGAAGTATCGAAACACACTTTATTGGCCAGTATTTTCAGGACAGCTCCAAATTCACGTTTATACAGTCGTCGAAGATCTGCACGCTGAAACTCAGCGACACAGCCTTCAGGTTATGAGGCTATAACGGTTTAGACAGCTTCACTGCAAAGCACCAGAGTACAGCTCCCGACTCTGCTCGGTCGTTCTCAGAACTTCACGCAGTCTCGAGACTCTCCACGCTAAAACTCGCCATGCACTCGACGACACACAGAGCACAGCTCCCGACTCTTCGGTTCAGTTTTGTCCGGAGCTCAACACGCTCGATATACTTAGAGATTTTTTCGATGCACCCGACGACCAACTCGGCACTCGCTGCCCGGCTGTCAACTCGATCGACTCCGCACGAACTGACTCGTTAGACGAGACACCAACTATCTCGGACTCTGACTTTCCGCGTACCAGCAGGGTTTATATAGTTTTTGGCTTGTGTTCCAGAACATTCTGGGCTAAACCGGTAACAATTCGTTTCAGAAGGTTCTCCCTCCGTCCACGGCATATCGTCAATTTTGTCGCCAAATGGGCGATTTCTCGCCAAATGTGGCACCCCTGCCTTCCATTTTTTGGCAACCCCAAACCTGCTTTGCAGGGAAGCCATCTTACCGCGCCTGTACACTTCTTAACAATATTTTAAAATTATAATAATGACTTAAGCGTTAATAATACTTTGTAAGGTTATTTTCTCTCTCCTCTCTGCATGCCCTCGTAGTGTAACGGCTAGCACACTCGGCGTGTATTCGAGAGGTCTAGGTTCGAGTCCCGGCGAAAGTATTCCACATTTTTTACATCTCTAACTTCAAAATAACCTAATGACTCCCCAGTGCCGCCTGAACTGAAAGGTGATATATGATGATTCTTCAGCACTAGGATTTGGCGATTGGGTACCTTAATCCCCAGTTGGCCTTTAAAAAGGGGGAGTATATAAGGTAACAGTAGTGGGGGCAGCCCGACCCACCTAACCAAGTTGGTCTCATGGTCATAACAGGCCCCGCCCGGTGTATATAAGGTATTTTCTCCCTCCTTTCTGCATGCCTTCGTGGTGTAACGGTAGCACACTTGGCGCGTATTCAAGGGGAATCCACGTTTGAGACCCGGTGAGGGCATCGCTCAATTTTCATGTCTCCTTATTAAAAAAAACCCAATTACTCTACAAGTCTTCTGAACTATTGTTTTTAAACACGCGATTTATTGTAAGAAATACATTGTTACAATTGAGAAACAAATTAAAAATCTTATGCCGCTTGCAATGGGAAAACTTGCAAAACTAGAATGTGAAACTCGCAGAATGTATTGTCACCAATACAACTTGCTTTTCATGTATAACAATAGGTAGAAAACGTTTTGGCAATTAATTGCCTATAATTGATCATATTTGCTAACAAAAGAAATGTTTAACAATTTTAGATGGACATAACGAACACAGGAGGGAATAAACACACAAATGTAATGAAGTTTCGTTGCAATATAACTTTTACACAAAATATACATGCATGTCAAAAAACAAAACATGTAAACTTGCATATCAAAAAAGTATTGACAATATCATACAGCAAATGTGGGAACAAAATGTAATACTTTGTATTCATACCATCTGGCATTTATAACAGCTTGTAATGTATTTCTCACACAGAAAAACATAGTTGTGCTGTCATAATACCATCAATAAAACTCAGGCTACCAACTCCGTCTGCTGCCATACAGCCCCAAACGCTCCCTCTGCCATGTTTCATATAGTCGGTGTTAAATGGGTTTTTTCCAGCTCGGTGTTTGGCTTTTTTCCACATATATTGTCGTCTATCACTTCTGAAAATGTTAAACTTCGATTCTTCGGAAATAACTGTGTCCCAAACTCGTCTGATAAATTAACATGAGATTTTGCAAAATCAATCCTCTTTCTCCAGTTTATTTCTGAAATGAAAGGTTTCTTTCTTGCTGCCCTTACGTAATACCTCCCTTCAGGTATAACATTCCGTAGAGTCTGTACACTGAAAGTTTTATGCGAAGTATTAGCAGCACATTCGGCTACCTGGAATGCACCTTATTTTAGAGTTTTTCCTAATCTCTTTGATAATGCCCTTTTCCCTTGCTGGAAATATTCGAGGCTGTCCACTTGGAATGTTATTTTCCATTTACCCTGTCTCGTTGAATATTTTTATAACACTTCGAACAGTAAATCAACTTATATTCACTTGTACTCCTATAGCACGATAAGTTAAACTCTCATTTCTGAGTTGAATAATCATGTTTTCAACCTTAACATCCAACTCCTTCGACTTCGAAACCTTCCTTTTTATCATAATATTAGTCAAATAATGTTTTAAAAGTTTTGAAGTAGCACTGCAGAATTTATTAATTAACAGGCATAGAAACCTGTGAGAAACTAACACGGTTTCTTATCAGTCTAAACACGTGACCTCAGCATAACAAAACTTGCATAGCAGTTAGAACTTTGCCAATACTTTTTTGACATGCAAATCTACGTTTTCGCTGAATGTTGTGTTAAAGGCATATTAAAATGAAAGTTTCTTTAGATTTGTGTGTTTATTACTTCCTGTGTTCGTTACTTCCAGCTAAAGTTGTCAAGCATTTCTTTTGCTAGCTAATATGATCAATTATAGGCAATTGCTAATATTTTTTATCCACTGTAAATACAGTGAACCAATCGCGGGGTCCACCTCTGAAAGTGACCAACACTTTTGAAAGCATAATAAACGTCGGAATTGAAAATCAGCTTTCTAAGACAGCTCCCTCCATGAAAGGCCAAAATCATCTATAATCGTGGGTGGGATTCTTAGAAAAAGTTCATTGTATTATAAGATTTAATACAGTAAATAAAATCTTGAAATATTAATTTCGAACAGAGTATCAAAGGCGATCCAAAGTGAAAGAAATTCATACTCATATTTGCGAAACCTGAATTAGATTAGTGCAAAACTCTCAGTTCTGAAAATGTATGCAAGTGGTTAATACACATAGAGATCGAGAATCATCTAACAGCATATTAAAGAGCTTCAGGGAGTTAAAATGAAGATTTGTGCCGCTTAGAAATGGGTTATTTGCTGAAGCATTTTCTCCATATAGCAATAAAGAGGCCCCGAAAACGGAAAGACTTTGGATAAAATTAAAAAATAAATCTTCTTCCTCGGTGGGAAACTCACATCTATTGAAAAATTTTCTTGTTCTTCCTTCCTTTCTCAGCGTGGGTTGTTGCCATCATTTTCCGATAGCGTGCAAAACTTTTAAGCTCAGGCAAGAATTTTGTTTTATTTTTATTTTTACCATGTTCTATCCAATGCACCGAAGTTTTAACGTTAAAAATATAGATGCTTTTGGGAAGTTTTAGAATTTGCTCAGAGTTTTCTAAATAAATAATAACTGATTCATAATGATGTCTTTTAATGCGGTTACGAACAAGCGAAGTTTTATCAGCGAATGATGAACGAAATATAAATTTTATATTCATTGATTTCCACTTTTATTTTAGAGAATTGATTTTTATTTAGTTATTTTCTTATGATAGGACGATGCACACTGGAAGATTAAACATTGTATAGCGAGAAGCAAATCATTACAACCAAATGTTTTACGCCAATTTGAACTCAGTAGTATTGTTATTGTAGGAAATTGTAAATATTGTTATTTAATGCTTTTGTAAATACTCTTATTTAATGCCATTTATAATTTAGTTCCATGTTTTCTAACGGTGTTTTATTTTTCGTTATTACAGAGTAATTCTTTTGCATAGAATACTGATATAGTTTAGTTCCGTATTTTTTAATGCCTTTTATTTTTTCGTTATTACAGAGTATTCTCTTTGTAGAGAATACTGATTTCATTTATCTAACTAAATGAATTTATTTATTTTCCTAACTAAACAACTTAGGAATAAGGTTAAATCGTTAACAACATTTCTGTTAATTATAATACGGGTTATCGCTCTTCTTGTGCTTTTAACTGCTTTCGATTTAGCCATAATCCCGAGTGAACGCCGTTCCCGGTAGTATCCTGGTAAATCAAGAGTTGAATATAGTAACTATAATAGTACATTTTGAATAGAATAACTACAGTGATAGTGTGTGTGTGGCGGGTCAGTTGATTTCGACTTGACACGTCGAAAAATAAGTTGTCTTTCATGCTGGACTTCTTCTGTAATCTTTTTTACTTACAAAAAAGATATTGTGAGAATTGAAAACACGGTATGTTATAATCTTCTGCTTAGTTCTGTATATTTTAATCTATTATTTTCCCTTTTTCTAATTTTGGAGATATCATTCGTAGATTAGAATTTATTTAAAAGTTATTTAACTTACTTTGCCATCTCACTCAGTTGCAGTTTTCCATCTTTATTGCTGTCAAATATCTGGAGCTAAAGAAAAAAGGGAAAAAAATCAGTTTTAGATAATTAAACATAAAGTGTTAATAAGGGTTTTCTCAAGAGGGAGAAACCTAGTTCCCACTTAATGAGCAAATTCATGAAAGCAAATTACTTATTATTTACACTGTTGTTTAACTCCTTTCTTATGTAAGTGATTAGAATATAAAGCATTTTATAGGATAATTAATTAGGTGGAAATTTACAGAATCGTATGACTCATTGTAGTTATAAAAGATACTTACATATTTTCCCGTCGACCGAGAAATTCTCTCCAAGCGAAGTGATTATTGATAAGCATGACGTAAAAACACATTCATAACATCTGCGCTTTCGTATAAGATAACACCGACTGAGTCTTGAGAAGCCACGTTTTGTTTTTACGAACAAGGATATAAATTAACTGTTATTGCTGTTTACTTTTCCTGCAGTTTGAAAAAGAATGATCAGACCCTTCTACAGTGGATTATTTTCCACTTATGCAAGCAGTGGATTATTTTCAAAGTTACGGGGACCCTACCGTAAACAAAATGAATACCTATGGATACTATAATGTATTTTATTTGAGAACAAACAAAAAATAGTAAAAAATTGTCACAACAGAGCAGACATTCGAAAAAGAATGTAGTTCGAGGGCTGAAGAGTCATCATTTGTCCTGTTTGGCTCGTTTACTGGTGGTCGAGAGAATTAACATCTGTTGAATGGGGGAAGGATAGCTGGATACGGACGACAAAACAGTAATAGACTGGAACCTGCGGTTTATAGTCATTGTCCTAAACAGAGCTTCCAATAGTTTATAGTCCTAACATAGCTTCCGGTTTATAGTTCTAAACCGAACTTCCAATAAACTCTCAGGACCTAAGAAAATAGCAGAAATTACCGAAGCGTTTTCACGAAGCGTAAAAAGGAAGCGGGTGGAAAACTGTTTATTATTATTATTATTATTATTATTATTATTATTATTATTATTATTATTATTATTATGTAAAATAGGCATCAGTCGCTTCAGAATTCTGTAGGAACTATTGGCGCAACTCTGGCGGTATTTCATAGCTCGATGGCAGCCAACTTTCACGGACGATGGGATGATGCTTAAGTACTTTAAAAAATGCTCATCCATGTAATGCTTTCTTAACAAATAACACGCAAAAGCAATTATCCTCACAGGAAACTCAATTCCATACGGAAGAATATTCACAGAGGAAAACGTTAGCAGAGAACGAAGCTCTTATGAAAGTAAATACGTATATATGGACACGATAAAAACTCACGGCTTACACGATAAAAGCCCATGTGAATAAAAGCTCATACGAAAGAGTGCTTTCGAAAACATTTTTTCCTTGATAATAAATCAATGCTAGATAATTTATCTATTTTAAGTGATGTATTTGTGAGTGCTGTCAGTAATACGTTTTTAAATACGGAGGTATAAACAAGACTGTCAATAATTTAGCTTATTATGAACTAATGTATGTTTTCATAACTCACGCATTTTATAAAATGATTTTATTTAAATAAAACTTATTATTTTTATGACATTTTGAATAAATATAATAAAGCTTTAAATTTAATATTTTTGAATGTTTGCTAATATATATCAATAAAGCGTTGCATATGGTTCAAAGAAGCATGCTTCTAACTGAAATGGACCTATAAGCGGCCGAATGAATAAGATCACTTAGAATCAATAATTCGATCCGAGTTCAGGATTAAAGCAAATGATCTGGATGAATGGGTATTTTGATGACTTTCCTCTTGTGAAATGTAACTCAATTTCTCAGAATTTTAAGAGTTACTTTCTATTAATTAAGATACAATAACACGCCGAACAAGTGTTAATTTAGAAGCCAAACAAAAAAATCAGGGTTATATTTTCAAATTTTCACAGGACTAGTTTCGATGGCTTTACCGAACCATCAGCCTCAGCTGCAAAAACAGAAATTAACGAGATAAGATACAGTGATTAGATAAGATAAGAAAGACTGGAGAGGAGTCGAGCTACTGGCGCTATCTGTTGATGAAACCAGAACTAAAACATAATATCTTTAAAGGCTGATGGCAAAGATGGATTGGAATTAGGGTCGTTAACTAGTACAGAAAGATATGCCTCTAAAAAATCCAGTTCACCAATGGAAGATGTTTTTCAAATAATTTTCGCCGCAGAAAAATTGAAAGTGAGATTTTTCGGACCAACAAAACAGAGACTGTGCCGGACCGATATTTAACGTGATCGAGAGAGAGGGCATTGTTAAAACATGTAAGAGACATGGTTAAGTACAGATTATTTTAGTTATTTAGCAGTCTGACTTGCAGTGTGTTATCCTCAGCTTCGCGTAATTTTATTTTAGATTTCCTGAAATCTAGAACTCTGCTCATGCAAGTACTCTTCATTTCCTCCTCGCATGTATTAATGGTTTTATAAAACTAAGAATTAATATGCAAATATTTATTAAGTTTAAATCAGGATAAAATTTATCGCTACGGATTTTGCATTTAGATAGCTAATTGTAGTAGAGTTATAATTAAAGCTGCTTTGTTTCCCGTGCAATGCAGCGCGTGACAAATTTCAAGAGAAAATTATGCCGTGAAGTGAAAATACAGGAGTACGTGCTTTAAATATTGAATAAATGGATATCTCGGTAATTTGTATTTAAATGGAGTACATGTAATTTTATGTTGTGATAGCTGTAACCGTTATTATATCCTCTTGCTAGTTTCCAGAAATCTCTAGAAGCAAAGAAATTACTAGAACTCTCTCGCGACCGATTGAAAGCTTTAAAAAGCCGAAGAGAGACATCTCAGCTCAGTTGTTGTTTAGTTAGCTGCTGTTGTTATTGTTGATCAGATTAGCTTTCTCTGTGTTGTGCTTTGCGTTATGTTTAACGTTTTTAGTAGTTTAAAGTATAATTACTGATTATTATTTCCTGATAATGTGAATACTGGTACAAATATTTCTGAGAAAAATTCCAGCTTTCTTTTGACAAGAATAAATTTTATTAACCTTTTATTGGACTTGTGATTCAATCTGTTACGAACCCGTACACACGCAACACTTTTTTTATTAAGGAAATAAGTTTCAAATTAGGATAAAGTCCATCATTTATTGCAAAATATGCATGTTAACACGGAACTTGGGGAAACCTTAAATCTGAAATTATGGAAATATATATGCACGTGTTTATCTCTCTACCATATTTAAGCCTAAAAAAAATTAATTATTTCATCAAATCGAACCTGTATAAAAATCTTTGTAGTCGAGCTTGATTGTCAAATTGTTCCTCAGGAATAAAGAGTAAAATTTATTTCTATTTTATCCCTTTTTGTACACGATTATTCAGAACATCCAACATTTTCCTTCGATACACCACTTCCTATAATAAATTGCACAATCATTTGTTATAAACCCTTTCTTGAATTTTGAATTCTGATTATTTTACTGGCTAGCAGTATACAAGGTATGGTATGTGAAGACATTTCAGTAAAGTGTATCCGGTGCATCTTCCCTCAAGTTAAAAAAAACTTAGTCTAGTGGTTCAGGGCTGAATGGGAAGAGGCGTCGTCCGAAGGTTCGGAAAAGGGTGAGGTAGCTTCATGATGAAGCAGACGTTAACTTAAACATAAGAGACCCATGCACAATATAAAAGGCATACACCTACGAAGCCTTTATAGGTATATGTCACAAGACATACGTTTACAACAGACTCAAGCATAATTGCGCAACAGGGCCTGATTTACACAAGAACAAGCAGAGCATTGATCTAAGTTATGTCACGTGCTAGGCTTAGAGAAGCTATCCGATCCTTTTATAATATCTAAAACAACTAAAATCATAAATAATATTTTTCATTTTAGGTTTTAAAACATATTAGAAGCCGGAACTAAATTTTAAAATTTTCTATGTTACTTTTTTGTTTGTTTCTGTAATAATCAGATACTGATCTTTCCGTCTGGTTACTGATACCATTTAGCGAATTCTCGCTTTCTAAGTTAACGATAACTCGCTCTCTGCATTGTGTGACCACCCTATCAGAAGCTCAAAATGTAATGTAAATATGAGGTAAACTGCATTTAAGATAATCAAATACTTTAGATTATCTTAAATGTGATAGAATTTGATTGTATTATTTTGGACTTATCTTTGCAGTTTTTTCAATTAAAAATTTATAGTTTCTTTCCAGTAGAAAACGAAACTGATTTAAAATGTATAATATAACATTTTATACAATAATAAACTGAAATCTCAGAAACAGATCTACAGAATGATGACCTGTAAGTTTTGTTTAAATAACTTTTAATAGAAAAAATACATTTTTGTGTTATTTCCCTGAATAATTTATGTGATTAGCATCAGTGATATCATCTACTATATTGAAAATAATTAAAAGAGGAAAGGGTTTTATTAGATGTTTCACCAAGTCCTCCAGATTTGAAAGTTGAGCCCTGATTCGAACTCGAATGTAGATAATATTTTACGTCTTTTTTTAACCTGATAAAAATATTTGCGCCAAATTTGGGAACTATAGCTTTTATAGGTTGCCCCACGGGTTTTAATAAATAGATACTGTTAGCTGCCTTACTGGTAGCAGAGAAATCCGTAACAAAGAGACACACACAACTTGCGCAGATATAATTACAAATGCAAATATTTCGTGAACCATAAGTGCAAAAATATAGTAAGTTAAAGGACTACTGCTTCAAATATTAATACATATGATAACAATACTGAAATTCTCTGACAATTATAATACAATGATCAATTGGTACATAATGAGATTGTAAATATAAATAGACTGTATAATACAATACAAGTCCGACAGTACAATATAATGCAAACACGAGTATGTAATTACAAATGTTAATATTTCATGAACCATCAGTTCAAAACAATACTAAGTTAAAGGACTATGCATATCAATGCAAAACATAAAGTGTTAAAGAGTAGTAGTATACAATGTTAGATATAGATATACTATACAAAAGAAAGTCATATTCT